CTTCAATCTTTCCCAGCATCAGGGTCTTTTCCAAAGAGTCCTCTCTTCGCAAGATAACTTTAGATTCCTCTAACTTTCAAGGTCTTTTTTAATCTCTTGCAATAATTTAACATAGTTATTTTGATATGTTTCTTGATTGTTTCCTGCCAATGCAAACCAAGATATTTCGCTTAATGGGCTATCTGACAACCAGATTTTTCTTGCAAAAAGAAGAAAATCTCCTTCAGAGGAGCTTTCAATCTTAAAAGGAGTGCTCTAGGATGTGTCCTATCACCCCTCCTTTCTCGTTAGTTATTTGATAAACTAAGCATTGTACTAGGACTGTCACTAAGTTGAAATTGATTGATTATGTGCCATCAAGTTGTTTTTGACTCCTAGTGACCACATAGATAGATTTTCTCCATGAGGATCTATCCCTAACTTAAAATATGCAAATAGTGTTCTCCTGGCAGAAAAAAAGGGCCTGGGCTTCTAAAAGTGAAAATAAAAATGAGTGAAAAGCCTTGTTACATTTTAATACCAATAAACCCCAAGGTGACCATAATCTCAAAGAAAAAAGAACCTCCCAAAATAAAAACAGTGGTCAATTATGCCCCCTTCAGAAAGTCAAGAATTTTGTCTATTTTGGGCATTTAATCATGGAAGATGGGAAATGAGCTAGTGAAATAAAGAGGCAAACAGAAATTACCAAGAAAAAAAATTTAAGAGATAAAGAATATACTGATCTCCAGGGAAATGGACATAAAACTAAGAAGGACCAAATGCTGTGCCTGGTCAACTCTCCTTTATAACTGCAAAACATGGGCAATATCCAAGAAGGCTAAGAACAGGCTGAAAGCCTTTGAAATGTGGCTTTTAAGGCAAATCTTGAGAGTCCCAAAAGATCAAATCCCGAAGTCCTGGAGATGGCATAAGGAAAAAAAAAGCTTCATAAAGACCATCAAACAAAAAACTCAGATACTTACTCAGTATCAGCAACTCTATACAAAGGGCGCTGCAACAACAGTGGAAGGAAACAGCAGCAGGGGATGACAAAGACAACAGAAACACATCCACAGAAGCAACACTCACCACAGAAAAGTAACACATCTGTCCTGATTAGATCCTCAGAGGCATACATGTGCACACCACACAGAGGCAAAGTGTATGCACATGCCCTGATTATCCCTGGAGAGAAAGTGGTGCAAGCTGTTATTTCATTACCCAGAAGAAAAAAACAGACCCCTCCAACGGCCACTGCTAATAAAGGGAAGCTTTGGAAAGCACTGCAGAAACCATGCTTGTTTTCTGAACTGATACACCTGTCAGGGGCCATGTGGTAACCAGCTCATCAAGCCTTAAAGGCTAGAAGGACCAAAACCTAGGGAAGAGGGGCTGTCTGCTGGAATGGTATGTGGGGTGACCTTGGGAGACAGGAGGAAGAGCCACAGACTGGACAACTGGCAGGTAAAAGAGAGAGCCAGGATTCATTGTTGTGCTTCTTGTCTGGACTACCTCGAAGGGCTAACATCTGCTGAGATCTCAGGATGCGGGTCTGAGGGGGCTTATAAATCTTGACTCATCTAGGAAGTTAAAGCAAGGTCAGCATTAGGATGGAAGTTCTCCAGATTTCTCCCGTTGTAGGCTCAATGGGGAATCAAAGCCGCAAGGCTGTGTCCACGTGATCACAGGACAGAATCGAGCAAGTCAGTTCTAAGGAGGTTTGACAACTACAGCAAACTTTCCTGCTCTTCTTTTCCGAACAAACCACGAGGGTAGGCGCGATTTTCCACCTAGCCTGGCGCTTATTTCAGGCGGCTGGTGCACCCAAGTGCCCATCCTCCCTCTTCCCACGAGCGCTGCTGCCCGGGCCAAGCGCCTCCGAACTCCTTCCGCCATCCCCGCTTGGCGCCTAGGGAGCTCGGTATCCTCCTCTGTTTCTGCTCCGGGTTTGCTGCAAAAGCCGCCGCCGAAGAAAAGTGGGAAGGGTGGGGCCAAAGGCACATGATTCTTTTCGCCGTGGGGAAGTAGGTACTGTACAGTATTGCTGGCTGAGCTTTCGGCAAGCCCGCCGCCTTCTCCTTCCCTTTCAGTAGGAGCGCGGCGCGTTAGGTCGGGGGGCTTGCCAAGGGAGCTGCTTAAGAGCCCCGCCCGCATTCATCCCTTTCCCCCTTCTGTGGCTGCACTGCGTGAGTCGTGAGTCGTGAGTCGTACGTCCTCCGGAGCATCAGGAAAAGCTGTCGGAGGCATCTTCTGACGGCCAGGTGAGTCAGCCTAGTAACAGGCGAGGCGGGGAGGAGCGGACATACAGGAGGCTGAAGCGGAACGGTCGGGAGAGCTTCCTGTCTCGGGTCGCAGAGCGCGGTGTAAGCGCCGTGCGCGCGCTCCCTCGCCCGCGATTTCTTTTCAGCGTCCTCCCCGACTGCCTGAACGCTGAGAGGGGGAGCCCCTGCCTGGGATTGTGACTCAGCCTTCCTAACGCCCTCCAGAAGCGTTGGGTGTCAGCTCTCATTTTCCGTAATTATGCTGTGCAGGGAATATAGGCGTTGCAGTCTAAGATATATGGAGATCATCAGGTTGATTTAACTTCTCCGGGCGAGTCCGTGGACTAGGATGAGATGCGGGGGCGGGGTGTGGGGTGTAAATCTTTTTGTGCTTAGACCAGTGTTTCTCAGCCTTGGCAACTTTAAGATGTGTGGACTTCGACTGCAGGATTCTGGGAGTTGAAGTCCACACATCCTAAAGTTGCCAAGGCTGAGAAACATTGGGTTAGACTGATTCTGGGTTACTTGTTGGTTTTGGCTCTTTTGCGTTTTCTGTTTCACGACTGTTGTCCTTCTAACCTGAATCTCAGTTACTGGGGGAAGTAGTAAGAATTGCACTTCAATGAAAGATGTATTTTTCACATGCTCAGAGAGGCAACAGGCATTGATTATAGGCAGTGCTCACACGATACAGTGAGTGATGAGCAAGCCAACCAGTTCTCCGTGTTGTGCAAATCCAGCACAGGTGGTTGCTTTATGGTTCAGTGTGAATATGTCCTTTGAACACAGTCTTAGCAGAGGCCGCTAGGGGCTACGTAGGACAAAATAATTGGTATTTCAGGACTACGAACTCCAGTTGCTAAGCAGGGAGGTGAAAATAAATTGGGAAGAAAATTTAGGAGAGTAGACTATTGAGATAGGCATATTAGAAAGGGAAAATATGTTGGAGAATAAGCCAGTTCCCTTTTCCTCCCCTTGAACATCTGGATAGAAAACTGCCCTCAGTTCAATGAAAGAGCTGGAAACCTTTCATAGGAAAACTAACAGGTATATTAGGATGGTGGTGGAACATGGTCACTGTTGTCCTGACCTTCATTTTTAGCCATCATCGGCCCTCATTGCTTGTGCATTCTTTGCAGGGGTTCTGCAAAAGCCTGATGCTGCTCGTTCTGGTGCTGTCTCTGGCCTTCATGCACAATGCTGTCTACGGGAGCATTTCCTGTTACGATGACTTTGGGCAGCCTGTGGACTGGTGTGTGTCCATTTTACCTGGTTTTATTGTTTATTTTCTCTAAAAAGACGGCTTTCCTGCCTTTCATCAAAGCCTCCAGAGCAGTTTACAAGAAGTAAAGTAGATTCTCCACCTCTCCTTTTCCCTGCTTGGCCTTCCTGTTTCTCTGGCAGCTTGTAGGCTTTTCAGCTGTTGACCCCAACTCCTTCCCTGCAACCATCCGTGAATGGATGAGCAGTGGATTTGGAATGTCTGGTGCAAGAGATGCAAGCAGTACACTCTGCCCTGGCCTTCTTTAGTCAGAAAATGCATTTATTTATTGTATTTATCAACAGTCACACTCTACACAGACTCTTGGCGGTGTACAATTAAAACAGAAATACAGAAATAATGTAGAAACAATCCTTAAAACTGTCAGAATTTTTCATGGATTACTACAAACAAAATTCCTAATAGATGTATTGGTGACTGACCTGAAATGAATGCCCTGCTGAACATCTTAGCTCTTAAGGTTTTTCTAAAGGTCAGAAGTGATTGAGTCATTTGGATTTCTGGCCAAAGGGTGGTCTGTAGTGTAGCCGCCATTGCTGAGAAACATTGTTTCTCAACATAAAGCTGTCTTTGAAACCCTGTGAGACTCTCCGCTTCCCTAGATTGCCTCAGGATTTTGCATCCCTAATATGTTCAATCTCCTATTTTCCTTTCAGTCTATAACTGTTAATCCTGCAATGAAGTCATGTTGCGTACCCATAACTTCACTGGAAATTAAATACAGGAGTTTTCTTATCCATATGCAGGTTGTGACTTCTAATGGCCTTGCGTTACAGGTTTATTGTTTACAAGTTGCCCAAGTCCTATCATAGCTCTGCAGTAGAGGGCATGCGGTACATGTATCAAGATGGACGTACCCAGGGCTGGGTGCAAGGGAGGAGCCTGATGAACAGTACTGAGGGAGCTGTGGGCAGAACATTGAATCAGCTGTATCAGGAGGCAGCAGACAGGCAGGTGAGTCTGCAAAAAGAGCAGTTTCAGAGTTTCTCGTGGTCCCAAATTAGAAACAGTGGCAGTGGGGTGACGTGGCTCTCACTGGAAAGACCTCGTCTCTACTGACCAAGATTTCTCTTGAACCACACCAATGGCTACTGGATGCAAAATGGGGGTAAATGCCACAGTAGCTGAGGCAGGCGTGAGGCTGCCATAGATCCTCTTAACTTTTTCAGGCTGTGGAACCTATTAATTAAAAAAAAATTCCCGGAACTCCTGTTCAAGAAGCAAAACAATAAGTCAAGTTGTCATGAGCATAAGTGCCCCTGGGGGGGTGGGGCTTTGGAATGTCAGCTGACAAGCCCCCCCTTTAAAAAAATCACTGCGGATACCCCAAGATCTGCATTCAAGTGAAGCTTTTTTTCGCCCTTAATCTCTCATGAAACCACTCAAGTTCTGTTTGAAAAACCCTGCTGTACCTGACTTGTGTTTTATTTTCCCTCCAGTGGGAGGAAGAGATGGCCTATGTCCTGTACAACGATGAACCACCAAACGAGAATTCCTCTGGTTCTAAGGGTCATACAAAAGGTAGTGCCCGTGCATCAAATGTATTCAAAGAAATAGGCCAGCTGTGACCTACAGTGTTGGACTTTTCTCCAGTTTTAGTCTGTGATGGAACAGACGAGCCACCTGGTGCTGCGCTTCTGGGATTTCAAGACAGCTGGAGAGAGGTTGACCACATGCTTTGGTTTTTTTTCCCCCCTCTCAGGAGTCATCCTTCTGGACAGAACTCAAGGATTCTGGCTCCTTCACAGCACGCCTCACTTTCCTCCCAGGCTAGATGAGAAGGAGTATGCCTGGCCCCACACTGCGCTGATTTATGGACAGAGCTTTGTTTGTGTCACCTACCCCTATAGCCAGTTCAAAGCCATAGGTAGGTGTGACAGCTGGGGGATGTTAGGATGTATAGAACCTCCATACTGAAAATCAAAACTTGTGGATTATTTCAGGGCATTTGATTAGGACATGCTAAAATGTCTGCCCCAAACTAAAATCTCCCTGAATTTGTGGCCTGTGCAGGAGAAGAAATGAATTATGAAGATTTAGTCAAGTTACCAGAGGTGTTACCAAGGAAACTAAGGGCAGGGGAACAGACAGGTTGATGCTCCTAAGAAGCGTAACTTCTAAAATTATTAATAACTTCTAAAATTATTGTTCAAGAGCTACAAAAATTTGGGAGGAAGAATTCCAACCAATTATTTTGGCACTGGCTTCCCTTGAAATGCATGTGTCAGTATGCCAGCCAGTCATCTAAACCATGCCATGCGAAGTCTTTCCACGAAAATGAAGGGCAGTCTGTCCCTTGTCCCCGCAAAGGAATAGAATGCACACAAGCAGGAGACCTTCACTAGGTAGCACCATCTTTTGAAATGATTCCATTTCAAGGACACTATTCCTGTTGATAAATTGAGGCTGCTTCCACACGGTAGTGCTAGGTCTCTAGGTTCCCACATTTACAGCCCTATTTAGGTGCCCCAAATCTCAAATTCCAAAACTTCTGGGTTGTGGTTTTTAAGAGTCCCTGGCTTCTTGCCTTCCCCCCTTCCCAGCAGTCAGTAAGCTGCCTTGGATAACCAGTCAGTTAATAGTGTCATATTTTAGCCTCACTACAGAAACAAGCATAGCAAGATCGGGATGGGGGTGGTAACATGTTGAAAGGAGCCCAGTTTCGGCACTCTCTTGTTGGCCAACTGGACGAAGTGCCGGTCAGCTTTGGCGAGTGGGGAAAGCAATGGGCCTGCATGAGACTGGAGAGTGGAGATCCCAGTAGTACAGAAATATAATGGCCTCCCAGACAATGCGTCTAACATCGTACACCATGTTTCTGCCTTAGGGAATCAGCTGCTCTTCACGGAGCCTGATGTCTACGATTACCGTGTGCAAGGTGCCTTTGCCCAGGATCTGCCTGCTTTGTTGAATGCTTCTGAGGGACAACATGTAGAGGAAGAGCCATGGAACTCCCGGGTGACTCTTACATCACTGAGGGGCAAGGAATTCGTCAGCTTTGCAAAATCCGGCTTCTTCGGTGATGGTAAGCGATGATGGGGGATGATCAGTCATGAGAGGTGTAGAAAGCAATGGAGTTCATAGGGAGGGTAAGGGAATATGGCCACACAATTACATCAGAACTGTTTTCATACATTTATGTGCTATTATTTAATCTACCCAGATCTGTACTCTGGCTGGTTGGCCCAGGCTCTTGCCACTGATCTCTATGTGGAGTTCTGGGTCAAGTCTCGAGGGATTCTGGCATCCAACTGTTCTGGTCAGTTCAATGTCTACAATGTGGAACAACTGGCATTCCGGGACCCAGCTACCCCCTTCTTTTCCACGAAGGACCATTCCAAGTGGTGTGTTGGGACAGAGCGTGACCCGGGGTGGGCCTGTGTCGGAGACATGAATCGTAATCATGCAGAGGAACACCGTGGGGGTGGTACCCTCTGTTGCCGTGATTTTGCTATTTGGAAAAGCTTCCACTCCTTGGTACAGAACTATACTGCTTGTGATACAACAGGATATGGACTCTAATTGGCTGAAGATTCTCAGTGATACTAAGGGAGCAGAATTCAGCTAATCGGGAAAGATGACTAGAGGTGACTCCAAGGAGTACTAGTGCCCCTGCCTCTCTTGGTCACGGCATATTAACTCCCTACATAGCATAATGTAAGGAGTTGTGCTGCTGCTTTGCTCCGCTGATTTTTCTGAAGGTTAATTCCCAGCAGCAGTTCCTGTATGTTTCGGACTTCTCCTAACACTATTTTTCCTGTTACGTAATAGCACTTCCAGGGGGTACATGAGCTATATGGAAAAATACAGAAGGAAATTCCTTTCCTGTAATAAAAATGTATACATTGTTTATTTTGTATGAATTTCCAAAATCTGGATATTCCAAGGAAAATATTTTTACGTGTGCAAATTCTGAGTATGAGAGAAATAGTAGTCTGATCTGAGGATAAGCCTCCCTGCCCCTTCTTGAGTAACTGGAAAGCTTTCAACAAGGCCATAGTAGTCTGTTTAATTACAACATCTTTTTAACTACAGCAACCACAAACGTCCTGAGTAACTTCCACATGTGTATCATAACTCTGTAGATTTACAGAATACATGGTTTAGAACAGTGTTTCTCAACCTTGGCGGCTTGAAGACGTGTGGACTTCACCTCCCAGAATTCCCCAGCCAAGCATGCTGCCAAGGTTGAGAAACACTGATCTAGAAATTAACTCAGTTTGGAATGGAGCCCCTTTGCTCCCTTCTCTTGTTATTCTTGGCTAGCCCAAAAATGTAGCTCCATCACATAGCAGGCCATGCAGGGCAATCTCTTCTCCCACAAAACACAGAAGTGAATAAAAGAAGCAGAGTCCTTCAGTATGAAGAAAATACCAGAGACAAAATAATTAAAAACTCAAATGCTTTAAAGATGTGTTTTGATGTTCTCAAAGATGTTCTCATCTTTAAATGCTTTAAAGAACTGTTTTACAAAAGCCGGCCTGATCAAAACCTCTTATGCAATCTGGAATAATAGGATATGGCAACCTGTGCTGCCACCTCCTTTGAACAATACTCACAGATGAGAAGCCAGATGGGAATTTAGGAATATCTGGACAGCTGTTTAAGCAGAGTGTGCTCGTTCTCTGAACGGATCAGAAGATGGATGCACCAATTAGACGACCTTACTGGACTGATGGGAGGCGCTCTCGCTGAAGTTACCGTAAGAGAGAAGCACGTTTAACAAATGCACCACGGTGATGGTGGGTTGTTGTTTTTTTGCTTAATTTATTACTGTTTGAAATCCAGTGACACTGACACAGTTACTCCTGCCACCCTCACCTCACTTTGGGGGGAGCAGCTGGCTGTTTGACCTGTTTCATAAAATACAGTACTAGGAAATGGACTGCTTACACACATGCACCCATAAGTTAAAACTACAGTGATTCAATACTGCAACTGAAAATAGTACTGCCATAAAAAGGAAAAAAAAAGATCAAGTGTTCCCCCAGTCATAATTTTTTTAAACAGTTAATGCTGTTACAAACGCTACTGATGTGAGGACAAGGCAAGACACAAATAAGTCCTACATCTTCACTGCAGTATAAATATGGAAGAGTTTTATACAGTTTACCCACATCCAACACTATGTTTCTTGCTACCCATTGCAGCTAAAGGACTAGAGCATCTCTGCTTTGGAAAAACTGATGCCTGAGGTCTCCATCATGGAATGTCACTTAATCATCTTCTGTGCCACTTCCTGAGCGATCCTGGAGAGAAGAGGAAAATACTTTTTTAGTTGCATTTTTATGTACCTTAATGTATCAGGTATCTTCCTCGCTCTCCTGGGAAGTAGGTAGACAGGCAAGAGAGCGGTGATCGTCCAGGAAGTTTCATGGATGAACCCAGGTCTAACATTTATTCATTGCACTATATAGCATCTTGAAAAGTAGGACTCGGTTTTGTGTTTCCTTTCTGCTTATTTAAATGGAAAAGCCTCTCTTCTTTCTTTCCCCTCCAACAAAAGCGCCCGGATTTCTCTTCCTAGGATCACTGACAACACTTTGGGGGAAATCAATGGTTTTAGCTACCTCTTCTTGCTCTTCCTCGCTGTCGTCATCACTAACTACAGGTTTGGCCCGGGACCCACGGCTGGTACGTCTGCGGCCTTTCATTCGGTCTGGTACTTTTTCCTTTCTGCCCAGTTTAATCTTCACTTTGACAGAACGAGCTGGGAGGAAGAAAAGACAGAGTAAGACTGCATAGCTGGCTGTGAATTCGCTTTCCTGTTCTGTTACAAAGTATGATCAGAACAGGTTGAGAGCTGTCCTCATTTTCATACACGCATATGCAAGAGGGACACAGACATGTTTCTATTTATACATTTGCCAAACACTCCATTATGACAAAACTTAATCTGCATCACTGTATTCCTACGCTTCATAACCACATCAAAAATAACCACATCAAAAGCTCTTTTTCTTCTTACGAAAAATCAAACAGTCTTTTATGCATACTTAAGGACGGTGCAAAAAGAGGAGGATGAGGCTTTCCTCAGCCTGGACCCTAGCTCAGTCAAATGTCACCTTTCCTGGTGGCTCTGATTTCAGGCTTTCACATACTTTCTCTGGTCAGCCCATCAAAATCTTACTTTTTCTTGTGTTTAATAAGAGGTACCTAGCCAGCCCTTGCTATCTCCAAAAGTCAGACAGGGTCATAGGTGGATACAGTACATGGTCAGAAATAACAGGAACATGGAGTACTATGTCCAGCTCTGGGCACCACAGTTCAAGAAAGAAAGTGACAAATTACAGCGAGTTCAGAAGAAGGCTACTAAGATGGTGAAATGTTTGGAAACCAAGAGGAATGGGTATCTTTAGCCTAAAGAAAATATGACTAAGGGGAGATGTGATAGCAGTCTTCTGATATGCTATCAGAAGGGTTGTAAACACTGTCTATTGCCCCACAGGACAAGACAAGAACTAGTAGGTTAAAATTACAAGAAAGGTTTGGGCCAGACATCGGGAGGAACCTCCTGACTGCAAGCTGTCTGCTACTGAAACAGGACATGAGTTCTTCACTGGAAGTCTTCAGATAAAGGCGGGATGGTCATTTGTCAGAGATTCTCTTATGGAGCAGGGGGCTGAATGACCTCTAAGCTACATTCCAGCTCTAGGGTTTTATGACTCTGAAGTCGAAACATAGCCCAGAGAAGGCGCATCACTTCCGTATTGCTGCCAAGAAAATGACGGGTGTGCCCATGAAGTTACTAGGAGTTCAGCTCAACTAGAATGAGCCTTTCAGGTTTTTCTGAAAAGTTTATACATTTGCTCTGCAGAATAAATGCAGAATAAAAAATCACTCACACTCTGATTCAGATCCTTCCTCTTCCCCCTCCTCCTCCTCTTCACTCTCTTCTCCTTCGCTGTCTTCCTCTTTTTCAATTTTCTGCCTCACACTGGTAAAGACAGACTGCAGTACAATTGAGTCTTCATAAATCTGTAGGAAACCATAGCAGGAAGAGGATGTAGAAATCATGATTGATGTAACACTTTCATTCCACTAGGCTAATACTATTGCATAATACTGCAACGCTTTTGAGTGTCTACTCCTATCATACGTCTTGCTGTAATCTTCCAACAATCTTGTGTTCCATACTGAAGACGGGGAGAAGAGTAGAAAAGAGTGGCTGGCCTAAGACCATCTACTGAATTGGTTGCAGTAGCATTTGAAACAGCATCAGATATATATTACCGGTAAACTAAAGGAGTTTCTAACGTTTGGTTATGGATGTGAGAGAGAATAGAAAAGAGCTTTAGAGTTTCATAAAACTCATTATCTCCTAATAATTCTTACCCATTATTTAAGACTAATTCTTGCACCATTGCAAAGGAGTTCTGTGCATACTTAACACTTGCTATATGTATTCTGCCCACAACCATGGTGTTATAAAAAATACCAAACCCATCTGTTTCTTACACAGCACAGAAACTATGAGTCTCTCAAAACACATTTTGATTGTCCTAACTTACTTAACTAAAGGAGAACTAGTTCAACTCACAATATGGGGGAACTGTACACTTTTTTGTGTCAAGAACACGCTCTAATTGCAGGGAGATGTCTTACCAGAGATCCTTCAAGGTTGAAAGTCTGGGCATTCTGACATAGGAGCATGACATCCTTCTCCAAATCATTCAGGCTGCGATATTTGTGGTTCCGGATACGCTCCTGAAAGCGAGGTGGGGATGGGAAAAGAAACGAAAGAGTGTTTACTGAACAAAAGATTTAGATCTCTGCCTTTATTTACTAGTCATCAGAGTGAGATAATGTCCTGTTTTCTTCATCTAGCTGTATGCATCTTTCAGCAACCAAAAGGAGAAAAGAGCAATCCTTAAAGCTGAAAGGGACAGTATCCTCAAAAATTCTTTTAGGAACATGGACAGAGATGATTAGTACATCAACATGGGTTCTGTAGGACATCTGTGCTATTAATTCACTTAGAAGACACCTAGAAAAAACATCCATTATACAATTATATACAATTATACAATAATTATATACAATTATACAATGCTTCAGTAGTACTGGGTTATGTGAAAATACTGACTGAAACTGATCGTTGAACAAAAGAACTTGCACAACTAGATGAGCAAGGTGGCTATCTGATACTTTGGCATCTCAAAAGCATCAAGAGAAATCATTAATTGTGCCACTCAACTGATGGACTGGGGGAATCTTTGGTAATCCAAAGATTTGTTTGAAAGCCTTAGATGATGTCATGCTATTTTAGGAAGTTAAAATGCAAATAGGAACAAGCTCAAGATCTAACGTGCTCATGGATTTTTTGTTGTTGAAGGGAGGGCATTTTGAAATTTCCATGTTAGAATGATTAGACCAAAAATCTAGGTTTATCTAAGCAAGCAAATAAGATACATTGGAGTTTTAAAAAAGTTAGCTGTACTAGGAACCTAGAATGACTTCATCTAATAAATCACAGGATATTACAAACTGCAAACTATTACAAACACTTCCACCATCCTGTTCAGGAAACTGTGTAGTTTGCTATCGCATCCTTTGAATATATACATTGTAATGCATTAAAATAAATTAAGAACTATTTAAGACATAACCTACAACACAGTTTGAAAAGGTAAAATGTAGTATTGATAGCTACTACTTCCATGTTTCAAATGAGATATACCATACTAAAATTACAGTTATGTGCAACACTTCTTTACAAGCCACCTAGCTTCATCAAAAAGTGTTCTCAGAAATTATGCAGAGGAATGGTGGGCATCCTGCAGTAGAGACTGTAGTGGCACCTCTTAATTACGCTGCACTGGAAAATCACTGTTTACTCACCTGTTGTAGGCATTAAGCTACAGGGTTCAAACTGCTCTTCTAAACAAGGGGACAAAAGGAAGGCCCCAAGTGCATGTGATCATGTGAGGAAACTGCGGCAGGGGGCTACTTTACCCTTCCCATCACACGACCAATGCCAAGTCAGTCTTCCCAGTCTGACAGGATATCATCTGCTGAGTGGTTATGGGAAGTGAAATCTGCTGTGGTTACATGCCACTGTGCTTCTCTCGGGTTGGTCACCTCACATGAGGTGCAAACTGCCCTATTTGATGCAAAACCAAAATGTTGCATCCTGCTTAAGATGGCCAACAGGCCTATTACAACACTCCTGTTACCAAGAGCCAGTTTGGTGTTACAGTTAAAGTGTTGGACTAGAAACTGGGCGTTCTAGTCCTCCCTTAGGCACAAAAGCTGGCTGGGTGACTGTGGGCCAGTCACTCACTCTCAGCCCAACCCACCTCACAGGTTGGTTGTTGTGGGGAAAATAGGAGGCAGGAGCATTATATATGCTGCCTTGAACTGTACAACATAAAGGTAGGATGTAAATCAGGTAAATAAACAGACAAACATTGGTCCCACCTCTATATTAGAGACAGATGAGAACAATAATACAATTCTTAAGGTACCTTTATCTTCTTGAAATCCACTGGCTTGCGAATGAGTTCATAATACTCTGGAAGCTCCTTTCGAGAAGGCAGTTGAATGAAGACTTCACTAAGCTGACGTCCACTGCTGCTACAAGACAAGATAAAGGAAAATATCTGAAACAATGTGTCTTTCTCAGTGCAGGTCAGATCAGAGGCGTCTACCCTGGCTGTCATGGACTGAGAAGTGAAGTAAAATATCAAGGCAATTTTATTTCAAATACTGAAGTGCACCTATCAATGGTTGACATGCTGGATCCACCAAAGTAGCTAAGGAACAGCTTACTTTAATTGCAGGATGAATATCTATTTGTTAATATTTGGCATAGCAAATCAATTTTTATCTATATAACATGTAGGAAAGTTTAAATCTAAATCTTCTTACTTCAAGCTGTGAATCTGATGAAGATACTTCTCTCCTGCTAGAGCATGTCACATTTTTTTAAAAAAATGCTGATTGGAAGATGTGATTTATCCCCCACTTCCCCCAATATTCTAACTTCACTGGGATCATGGTTGGAGAGAAAAAGTGTGGCATCTTCTTCCTGCATGCTATCTTCCTACTGAAAATTGCTCTCCTCCCCCAGTATTAAACCCTTAAATATAGGTCTAATCATACAAATATTGTCTAGTATGTCTCTGAAGCATTACATTGGCTGCGGAATTTGAAACCCTGGCATGCAGTGGATAAGGTCTTTCAAAACACAGAAGAGCAACACTGATGGGATGGGTCAGACCTGAGAAACGATATTTGTTAGACAAAACCAAACCTTTGTTTTACAACAGAGGAGAGGGAAGTTAACTGCTTGCTGCAGGATTGTCAAGACAGGAATTGTAGAAAATAGTTTTTTCTACAATTAGACAAAAAATATGTTTGCTGCTATAAAAATTCATTGTTGTTAGTTAATCCAGATAGTGGATTAAGAAGAAAGGATCTACATTAGCCTTCTCCAACACGGTGCCCTCTGTGTACTGGGACATCAGACTGGCTAGGAATTCTGGGAGCTGTAGTTCCAACCCAATGGAAAGTGACATTGCGCAGAAGACTTGTCAAGGGGTGAAAGATACAGTAAATGGCCTGCTGCTGCCATCTCCAACCCCCTGAAAAAATGAGCCTTTGTACTCATAGGACAACCAATCTATTAAAAAGGTTGCAACAGTTCATTGTTCCAGCATGTCATTCATACCCACTTCATACCACTCCATTCCAGTTTTTCCCTTCTCAACAGTATCCCTCTCTCTGACATGTACAGTCTCAGTTTTTCACATAAATCTCAATCCAGAGGCAGCAGAAGCAATAAAAATCTAGGTACTGCAAAACAAACATCTGTCCAGAGGAGAAATACTGAGGGTATAAAATGTAAAAATTATAGAGGGAGAAACATCCCTTCTTTCGGTTACCTGTCTTTATACTTAATCACCGCATCAACAATCTTCTTCATCTTCTTGGTGAGGTTGGGTGGATTTGGAGACAGCTTCTCAGCAGGAGGCCGGCCACGCTTCTTCTGCTTTTTGCTGTCATCGTCTTTGTCCCGGCTGCGAGTGCTGGTGGTCGGGGTGGAGGAGCTGACATCTACATCTCTCTTGCGCTTGCGGGAGGATTTCTTCTGACGCACCTCCTCTTCAATCTCCTCTAGGGTGCCCTCTTCTATGGCCTACAGATAAGAGCAGCAGTCAGTCAGCCCGGTGCAATGAAAAGTAAGTGGGACAACAGCACACTGTGAAATGATTGAACATGAACATTCACACACAACCAAGCCACCTAAGCACAGTGAGGAATGGGATGTCTACATGGGCTGCTTCCCCAAAGGCATCATTTCCCGGTGTAGTCAATTATGGATCATGGAAGGCTGCAACACTAAAAGGTGGGGAAGGAAAGCTAGTTCTCTTACCTACAAGCTTTTCTTCTCATGTTAAACAGGGCCAACAGGCAGAAGACTCTGTAGAAACCATGCAGAGCAGGTTGTGGGGATGCCCCTTCCTGCCAGTTCTGTTGCAATTTCTTCCAAAGCTGCAAGGAGACCTGAGGCTACTAACCACCCGTTAGCCATAAATTTTTATGCTTCAGATTGCACAGTAAGAGAGGAAAAGAAGCAAGTTGACTGAAGGCCATGTATAACAGAAGTAGGAAAACTCACAAGTAAAACTACCCATCTTTCATTTTCCTAGTCATACATGGCTAGAGGATCTCACTTACTCAACATTCAGAGCAAAGGAACCTAGAGTTGCAATTGTGACACCTTTGTAATGTCAGCAAATTATGGAAAGTCTTTAACTGGAGAATGGCCTGCCAACATGGTTCTAGTTTGTTCATCATTTGTTCTTTACATGATATTTCAAATAAACAGAGTTCCTGTCCTCAAGTAGCTTAAAATATAGGACCTTTTATGAGACATACCTTATGAAAAAGAATGAAATCAAGGAGACCATTCTTTGATATTGTAATACAGAGATGAAAAACATTAACTTCTTAAAATTCTTAATTGCTGGCATCAAACTTCTAGAAGCCTGGGAGAAGGAAGACTTCATTTTGTTTGCAGTCCTCCTTTTATCCACCAAGTTCTACCACTATTCTTACACCATGCTATACTTCTTCTCTGAACTAATTGTTTGACTCCAATTCTATCCATAATTTGCTAGTTCAGACCTTAACAGGAAACTGGTTAATTAACCTACAGCGAATTATGGCATACTGAAAACAGAGGAGGGAAATGGAATGATAGAGTTTAATTAATTAAGGTATATACATGCAAATAGATCCAATGATTCTTCATCCCACCTTGAATGCCTATCTTCTGAACTCGAGGCCTGTCCAATTTATGGCAGCAAACCCATTTTTTAATAAACCGGTGACAGCTCTGATCTTCCAGATAGTGGGAAATATTACAGGGTTTCTCAAGACCCATACTTCTCTTTGTCCAAGAAATATATAGGCTGCCCATTCTGGGCTAGGAGAGAATCATTGGTAGGCAAATATACAGTGTTAGACTCAATACATTATAAGCTATTCTTGGCAACTTCAAATGACAGGGGCAATCTAACTCTTTAATTATGCTATTGTTTGGAGGGATCGCAGATAAAAGAAATGAGCCTTGGAAATTACAGCCTGAGATTCCAGGGCTCTTCTTCATTACATCTCGCATCAGCCACCCTCCCTGGCAACAAGGCAGCAACATGTGCGCACAACCATGGGGTGCTCTCTGCCCCAGTTTCTAGAAAAAAAACTGTGGTGCATAGACATCACAATGCCAGCTTTTAAGGAACTGAAACTTAGTGTTTGTATGTCTTACATGGAGTCTGATAAATCCAGGAAATGGTGAAGAGCAAGTCTGATAGAAAAGGCTCTTGACTGAATGTATGCAAATACTAGCTTAGAAATCTGTTCTGTTTTTTTTTTTTTTTTAGGCCTGGCCTTTGGGAGACAGCTACTGCATCTCTGATTTGCTCCATGCCCCGAAATAGTAAAGAGTGTGAATTTATACTTGTAATTCACAGAATAGATCTCTTTCATTGTACTTCCAGTAATGTACTTCAGTGTTGGCTAATACACAGAGCAGTGCAGAAAGCTGATGTGCACAGGTGCCCTTGTCCCTGTGTCTCTCTCACAACTGGAATGAAAATACAAGGATGGGCAGGACTCTGAATTTCTGCTCAGTTCCTTCCAAAGTCCCAGCATTTCATCACATGGCTCAGCCAAAGCCAACTCCAGAGAAAGGAGACTGGGATGTAATTAATCAAGGAACTATGAACAATTGTAGCTTCCGTTTTCTCACAGAGTCTCTGTTTCTATTAGTGACAAATTTGTGCATATCTGGAAAAGATGTAAGATGTGAAATACTGCTGTTCCATTGGCTATGCCTATTCTGGCAAGGTAATTAAATCTCTTCCTATAAGCTGAAGTAAAAGGTAAGTAGGCTGGAGGCCATACTGGAATCTTGAAATGTCTCCTGGATGTACTGTATGCTCCTGAGGATGCTGCTTGGGCTCCTGCAGAAGGTGTTATGTGCTTTTAGAGGCTACAGGTATAAAAGGCTAAGAGAAAACCCATGGGAAATTTGCCGGGGGCTAAAAAGACGTCTCTTTCTCTTGCTCCAGGACAAAAATAAAACCTCTTTCCTCATGACTGTCATGTGCAAAAACTTGCCTCAGTTTTGAAGCAGAAGTAATTTCACTTGCAAGTCTCTATTGCTGATGAGGCAACCTGGTTCCTTCTTGATATTTTGGATTAATAGCTAGCCTCTCCAATGGCAAAGGCGTGTATAAAGTGTAGTCTGAACCCAGAGGGCACCAGGCTGCCCACTCCATTAGGTTACCCATTTGGGAATACAACCTTCTTAAACCTTCCCTTCTCTTTGAATCCATAGCTCCATCGCCCAGCCATGGAGGGTCCAAATCCTGTTTTTCCTTCCTCAAAAGGGGATACTTTCTTCTTGTAGTGGGAAGGGGAACAGGAGTAATAGAGGCAATTTGAAGACATTCTCTCCTGTAACAGTTAAGCAGACTGTCTTTGCAGACTGGCACCATTATTTTATGAGCCCAGGAAAAGACTGAGTTCCATGTTTACTTTTTGTCTTTTTCCACGCAGCAAAAAGGTGCAAGTTCCCAATGTCTATATAAACCAATTAACGTAAAATAGAATTCGCTGAAATGCATGATCAGGCCTGGTGGTGTGACTGACCTTCTAGTGCATAAGCTATAGCCAAGCCTGAAAGTGCATCTCATATTGGCAACTGAAAGGATCACATAAGGATCTCAGACATGTTGCCTCTCCCCAGAATGACAGAAAAAGGTTGCTGAATGGTTTTGCAAGCAGGAATTCCTCAGGGCTAAGAAGAAAAGGAAAAGCCATAAAGGAGGTTTAGCCCACAAAATTAACATATTGTATAAAAGGCAGGTAAGGAAGCTATCTTTCTGTTAGCAAGGCACTCCTTAGAGGTGGCTGCTGTCCCTGAATTTGTCTCCACAATTCTTGTGGAGCCTTCCTGCAGCATCCTATTCAAATGTTTGAACCACTTGTTGTCAGCCAGCATTCGCCACATTACAGAGAAAAGCCAAAAGTCCAATTTAATATAGTATAAACCTTCACTGACAAATGAAACAGAACATAGCTGTACGACATAATAAACCAGGTCTGAGTGATTTTCCTCCTACAAAATGATTAGCTTCCTGTTTTCTCTTATGGCAATTGTTGTTATTCTCTCAGCAAAATGTATATGTTGATTCAATCCGATATTATATATTGACTCAATCCAGTTATGGAAAGTGCTTTTGTTCCTCTTATCTTCCAGCTCTTACCAGCTGTTCTTTTGTTAGAAGAAGGCTACAGTGTCACTCAAAGATTCACAGTTTCCCATTTTCTTTATCAGTTTTATCAATTTGAGGAAAGTGGCTTGTTTCTACAAAAAAACTAATTAATCCACATAGCACAACAGCAGCATTTGGTTGCCTTTTTCTATCTAACCTGCCCACCTTTGTGCAATTTTTAGATTAAAAAATGAACTCATTAGAGCCACCAAGAAATAACAAAGTGATCTGCAGTAAAAGGAGTAGAGAAAAAACCTTGATTGGCAGGTCATTCTGATTTTACTTTATGTTTCTATGATACGAGCTGATTGCCATTCCCCTTTGCTAAAACATTTTACTTTTTGACACAACTTAGTGTAGAAGCAAAAAAGGCTAGGCTATCTTTCTCCCTGCCACCCTCAAACATGGCATAAAACAGAAAACTTGGTCTTACCTTCTTTGTTTCTACTTGTTTGATAGGTAGCAGTCCAGACAGAGGGCATATTCCCTGCCCAGCCAATGGGGGCAGATGCTGAGGAAAATATAAATGGGCTGGACTAAAAGGTCACCACCTCTTCCTCTGGACAACCAGTCACTCTTGGCCTAGCACCGAAGGGCCCATCCCACCAACACGCTCCCCAGTGGACAAGCATCCTACAACAGGCAAGTGCTGGATTACTGCCCATTAAAAAACAGAAGGAAAATTAATAGTTAAGACCAAATTTTCTTTTCTATTTGTTGCTGGGCAGTGGTCCAATCACTGGGATGATTCGAGAGGTCCGTTGCTTTACCTACACACACGTCAGCACTTTGCTTTGGGCACTGTTCTTATGATTATTTCATATGCTAAACAAGTTGTTGGATGCCTCAGGGAGAAGGCTGCCCACAGACGCTTCTCTCCTGCATCAGTAAGCCACTGGAAATACCACGTAGCCCCATGACAGCGCTTGATCTTGATCCACTGGGGCTCTTCTTGTTCCAGCTTAGTGCTTAGGAAGTGAATAAACAGGGTGTCGCTTTTATTCTTAAATGTTGAACTGAAGCCATGAAAACTGCTAGTGGCGCGCTGACCTTTCTCTTAATCAGCAGCTATCTTGCAGCATTGAGGTCATCAACTTGTTTTGTCTGTAATGCGTATTCTGTGCTTTTTCAACCATAAAAGGCAACTGCTGCTATTTCCACAAACTGGAGCCCACAGATAAAATTATTTTTTAAAAATCTGAAAACAGAAAAGCCCAAACTTTCCAGTATATCTTCAGCAATGCTTTAAGTTCACTTCCAGTCCAAACTGTGACCCAGTAAGTAGTACTCTTCCTGCTGACAGAGGCCCAAGCTGCTAAGGATAGGAAGCTCCTTAAGAAATTCTGGATGGCTTTAGACTGTGTATGAATTCCAAGGTGTAATACCCAAGTGAATTCTGAAAGAATAAATCAGAAATCCACATTTCCCAGTCTTGCAGCCTTGTATCTGTCAACATAGTTACTCCCTGGGGATCAGCCATTTAGGAACCATCACTTTAAATGCTGTGGCACCACTTAATCTCCTTTCCTTCACCAGAACAGGCATCCATCTCAGGGTTAGATTTTTTTGAACGAGGAAGTGAAATGAATGCAGATATCCTATGGCATCATCATACGTAGCAGATTCATGTCCATAATGACCACAGAAGTGAATCTATTAAGACTTAGCTAGTAATTCTGATATGTTGCAAACTTTCTGAGATATCCATCTTATGCCATATCAGACCAAGGGCAATCTATACCGAATGGCTGCAACAAATCAAAGATTCAAGTGGAAGATTCCTCAGTCACTAGTCTACCCATGACTTTAAAAGTGGGAGTGGGATTGGACCTGAGACCTTATACTGTACATGCAAATCATGCATCTCACCATAGCATTTCAATATGTATCCCTGCCCCTGTCTCCAGAGTTTGTTTGAGGGAAGACAGGCATGAATTACCCAAAATTTGTAACTGACTTCAAAAAATCCCATAATGAAGGAAACGCTTTGGCATGGCATCTGATCACTGGTCTATGCAGTCCAAAAGCATCTACTCTGACCAGCATCATAGTAGAACTAAAATCTCAAGGAAGAGTGGTCTTATAGCATTATTCTTTTCCAATAGCACATGGAAAGCAAGACACCCTTTAAGGTTAACAGCAATCAGATATTCCTTTGAGGATAGATAACAAAAGGAGCTTGAATCCATTATTTGAGAAAAAATTATTCTTATCATTATAAAATAGCCTCTATGCTTCTTCAGAAGCAAAAAACAGAGTCAAATTATCTCTGAAAAAATATGAACTTGTAACCATTGAAGTCGTTGCTAATTTTCTACACCGAAGGAATTATATACAATAAAGGGAGTTGGTATAAAAATGCCAGGAAAAAAGTTGCAAGTTACTTCTCCGTTTTCTTAGGACAGCTATCTTTTCTCATGAGGAGTCTTCTTAGTGACTGCTGTAAAAAGATTCCGATTTTTAATGTCACACTTTTTCCTGTGGTCCCAGTTTACAGGGCTCCAGCAAGAAGGAGGAGTCTATGAGAAAGAAGGTAATACCTCAGGCACAAACAACAACAGGTGCTGAGTGGAGCAGGCACATCTTGAGCCTTCTTCTGCTTTCTGTAGCTT